TCATTAACTGACACTAAACTGTTTAACTAATTCTAATTTGCTTCTCAGTTTTGCATTTATATATTGTGCTAGTTTTCTACATACTGTAGGAAGCATCAAGATTCTACAGAGATTTCTTGACTTCACCATTCATTATTCATGTAAGAAAACTCCCTCTAGTGAGCAAAAAACATTAAAATGATACAAATATAAACGACAACGATAGCTTAACTTGGACAGATCTACAAATGCTGACGGAAAGGGGCCAACAAAACACCTCTAGGGGTCCAGAAAATTTCCTCTCAAGACATTTTATGGTGAAATTTGGTGCATCATTGATTATATGTGGCTGCCTCTTCGTGTATACCTATTAAGCAGCATAAAATAACGTGTGGATAATTACAGAGAATACAACAAAGGACAACATCTTATTTTGAACAAATACAGTAGATCAGCTGGATCTTCTGAAAGAGAGAACTTATCTTTTAACCTATTATGAGAAGTTATGGAGGAATCAAATGAGAAGGAAAGGTCCGGAGTACACATTATCAAAATGTAATTTATGCAAAACTACAGAACCCTATTAAAGAATTAGATTTATCGGATTGTTATATCCTCCAAGTTTTATTTATATTTTAACATTTTGGGGGCACTTGGAAGGAACCCTTGCCTTATAATACATACTGTAGAAATCACACGTCAATCTGAACTGAAAGTTATTGTTTGTTTACATATATTTGTTACAAAGCCTGGTGTTTTCAGTAATCTAATGAATATACACATATATTGATAAACTTTTCATTTTAAGCCAGCAATATTCAAATGAAAAACTGTAGAAACATTCATGGGCGGTGTTTGATAGATTGGAATATCTCATAAACAAGTATACTATTACATCACGAAAATGTTTAAGCATTTGTAGAAATAAGTGATATACAAGTTTCTTCACCAGCCAATATGTAAAAAAAAGCTGATTGTGAACATTGTGTCTTGAGTCAAGGTTCGTCCATGAAACATGAAGTGATTATTTCAATTCATGTAAACATACACAGTGTACATGTATTGAATTAAAAGTCATTGTCCTGATCATCTGCCTGCACATGGTAAGCCGTTCTGGTGGTAAACATATCCATTACAAAATTAATTTTTTTATTCCTTTAGCTCAGATGTTAACATATTAGCAGGCATAAGACGTACAACTAGTTAAGGGATGTTTGTCAACTCAATCTCTTCAGTTTGTAGAACATAAATGTATTTCGCGTGATTTATGTCTGTATAGACGACCTCTAAGTACTATACGATATCTGTAATGAATGAGTAAATATATAACTTCCTCTGAGTTTCTGTTTTAGATTGACGACTAGAATATAATCGATACGTTGTGTGTAAATATAAAGTGCATGGATGTTGACCTATTCTGACCAAATATAATATATTGTTACGTCTCTGCTCGTTTGATAATTTCCGGTAAAAATTCTTCCCGAGAAACTTCAGCGATACAAGTCCTTTCTTAAATAAAGCTAGTTTATTCTTTCTCAATACAACTTTACAATACACTTAATTTCCAGAGTCACTTAAACACACGCTATAATTCACCACTTTACTACCGCGCTTGACTCAGTTTTCCGTCTCTGTCTCTGCCTGTCGGCAATTCTAATTCCGATTGATTGTCTCTCTTTATCTGGCGCACTTATATACAAGAATAGAGGGCGCCTAGCAAATACTGGATTATTCGTGATGTTCCCCGATCGTTCTAGAATCTCATGGCGTCTTACTAGGGTCACGTGACTTCCGCTGTCGTAACAACATTCAGTCTATATAGAAGTGAAGACTTCAAAAGTAGCAATGAGGCGAGGGTTTCCAAATTTGCAAACTATGGTTTTTCAACTGCTTTTTATTCGTTGCATACAAACAGATAGTATAATGAAGAAGTTTTTATTATTTGGGACTAATTAGCGATCTGGTGTTTGAAAAACAAATGAGCAAAAGCATAAGCAAATTTGTACAAGTTCGATCTAGGGTGGGTATCTTTGGTTAAATTTTAGACAATGTTCTCCCAAAAATATTGTTTACTACGTTAAAGGGCATAATATTTCCTTTCAGATGATGTATGATGTAGTAGAAGCTCTCAAAATAAGGCCCTTTTTGAAAAATAATCACTCGTGTAGATTGCCTGATAAGCGAAAGACCTAGTCGATAAACTAAATATTGCACATTTTTTTTTGGTTGACATATTATAACGTATTCTCCTTTTCTTTCGCTCTTATTAAAGCTAGTATAAAATACATCCTTATAAACATTATTTTATTATTTCTCACAACTATTAAGTTTGACTAATAAAATCAACGTACAAAAAAAAAAAAACAGTTTGGCCAGGAGAAAAGTTTTGCAAAATTTTGAAAGTTTAAAAGTAAGAAATATTTTCGCCATATCACACAACAGGCAAAGATGATTAATCACAATAAATCCAAATACCGAGGCTGAGACCTACAGATCCAATGCCTGAAAATTTTTTCGCTACGTTTAAAGTTAGAGAATTAGGCTTAATTAATTGTTGTTCGTGCTTTAAAATATAGTGGGCACCGAGAACGACTCATTTCACCTTTGTTTAATTTTTATCTGGGTTTTTTACATCTTATATTTTTTGGGGGCAGGGGCTTGCCTTTGTATGTGAGGGTGCATGAAGTGGGTCAACCAATATTACAATATGCGTGTAAAGGATAAACAATTAAACTGAGAATGGACATCGTGGACAGACGTTTTCCTCTTTATTAACTATTCTCCAGGGATTTCAGAGGTAGACGTTTTGTCCAAGAAAGAAATGCCTACAATCCTCTCATTCGTGTGGCGAGTTACCTTACTATATATGACGCATTTAAATCTCTTTTTTTTTTTCTTTTTGCTATCTAACAACGTTTAAAGTTTCCAATAAGAAGTTTTATTTGGTTATACTGTTGTGTTAATTATAGGACAAACAAGGTTAACATTTTGACTTTAGGAAAACGTGAATCAACGTGTCCTGTACGTTAAAATAGGCTATACTTCCCTTTTAAATCTATTAACTTTAAAAAAAAAAAGGAACAGATAGTTAACAGTTCATGCTGTTGTAACTACTTTCGTGCTACTTAAAACCTCCTGAACGAAGCTAGAGATTAGTTTTAACACGCTTCCTGTTTTGGGCTTTAGGGCTTACTTGTGTGTATCAAACTGTTAAGATTTACGTTCTCACTACGGTACAATTACTTGGTAAATTTTGTTGCATATATATTTGTTTTTCTATACGCTTGTTCCACTTGTTATTAAGGTCAATTGCCATTTGTATTGGGTTGCTTCCAAAAAGTTTTAATATGCCAGCTTCAAATTACTCTCTCTTCCTGTAGGCCTACGACGCGAAAAATCGGTTTTCGATACCCGTGTTGGGCAGAGCGCAAACAGTCCATTGTGTAGCGTTACATCCATCGAATAACAGTTTAGCATACATCAAATGAATTCACACATTATAGTTTAATACTTCATTGTAGAAACGGGGTGAAGAACATCCAGTATTTTTGTGCCAACTCACGAGTTTGAAAAGTTTTCTTTTTATGCTATTATTTAACTACAACGCCATACATGCTCGCCCTTTCAGGCGCGGGGGAGTTATAAAGAGACAGAAAATCCCACTATTCGTGGGTAAAAGAGTAGCCCCTGAGTTGGTGGTGGGTGGTGGGGCCTGG